CTAACGTAATCTTCTTTATTCTTGTTTGCACACTTCCCGGCGGCAACTGCATAGTTATTGACTAGAATAGAGTAACAGAGTTGGAAGGGACCTTGGAGGTCTTCTAGTCCAGCCCCCTGCTTAGGCAGGAAACCCTACACCACTTCAGACAAATGGGTGTCCAATCTCTTCTTAAAAGCTTCCAGTGTTGGAGCATTCGCAACTTCTGGTGGCAAGTCGTTCCGCTGGTTAATTGTTCTCACTGTCGGGAAATTCCTCCTTAGTTCTAAGTTGCTTCTCTCCTTGATTAGTTTCCACCCGTCGCTTCTTGTCCTGCCCTCGGGTGCTTTGGAGAATAGCTTGACTCCCTCTTTTTTGGGGCAGCCCTGAGATATCGGAAGACTGCTATCATGTCTCCCCTAGTCCTTCTCTTCATTAAACTAGACATCCCCAGTTCTTCGTATGTTTTAGTCTCCAGTCCCCTAATCCTTTTTGTGGCTCTTCTCTGCACTCTTTCCAGAGTCTCCACATCTTTTTTTACACCGTGGCGACCAAAACTGAATTGCATTCAAACCCTTTCCTGTCTCTTTTGAAAACCTTTTGCTTCGTTTTCTTTTTTTGCTTTTAATTCCGAAGGTTAAGCCGCTGGGATTTTTTTTGGGGGGGGGTGGAGGGTGTCTCTCAGCAGTAGATCCAACTGTCATTGATCAATGGGGTATAGGGGACACCTTCTCAATTTGGCACCGTTTCCCTCCTCTCGCATGTGGCAGGCGGAGAGAGAGAGAGAGCGCAAAACCCTCCAAGTTTTAACATCTGACTTCGGTTTACTGAAATAACAGGCGGTGTTTATTTTGTATTGTATGGCACCTGGTTTTTCGACCCTATAAAAATCTCTCTCCGAGCTCCTATGGCCTCGGTTCAGACACTTTCCAGCTTTGTTCCTTCTCCGTCTTACGAGGCTGCCTACCTTCTCCCTGTGTTTTGATTTCCCGGCCATTTACCCTGCTAAGAGATGAACATGTCAGCACATCCAATTCTACAGGGTGAAATTAGGGAGCTCTGGGCAAGCAGATTCTCCACCGTTTTCTCCTCCCGAGCTGGAAGGGATCCAGGCAACGATTTCGGTGTGTGAGGGTCTTGGGGGGAGCGAAGGACGGATGTTCGGCCGAGTTGGAAACAACCTAAGAGGTCATCGAGTCCATCCCCCTGCCTAATGCAGGGTTTACTACATCGTTCCTGTTTGGAAAAACAAAACAAAACCTCACAGGAGGAGGAGAAGAAGAAGAAGAAGAAGAAGAAGAAGAAGAAGAAGAAGAAGAAGAAGAAGAAGAAGAAGAAGGAAACACCTGCAGCAGAGCAGAACAGGAGGCCAAAGTCGGAAGGGACCTTGGAGGTCTTCTAGTCCAACCCCCAGAGAGCCTATACCATTTCAGACCAATAGTTGTCTAATCTCTTTTTAGAAATCTCCAGTGTTGGAACATTCACAACTTCTGGAGGCAAGTTAGGAGGAGCCTGGATAGCTCTGCAGACTAAAGCAATGTAATTTAACACCAGCTGTCTGCAATTACTGCAGGTTCGAATCTCGCCAAGGCTCAAGGTTGACTCAGCCTTCCATCCTTTCTAAGGTAGGTAAATTGAGGACCCAGTTTGTGGGGGCAATAAGCTGACTTTGTATAAAAATATACAAAAGTATGAAGGCTTTTGCTTAACGCATTGTAAGCCGCCCTGAGTCTCCGGAGAAGGGCGGCATATAAATCAAATTAAAAAAAAAAAGTCATTTTCCACGGATTAATCGTTCGCACTCTCAATAAATCCCTCCTTAATTCTAGGTTGTTTCTCTCCTTGATGAGTTTCCATCCGTTGCTTCTTGTCCTGCTTTGGGGCCAGTGTCTGTTCTGCTGATTGACAGTTCTTAGTCTCAAGAAGATTCGCTCCCCCCCCTCAATTTTTATCTGCAATCCTTGAAGTTTCAACTTGACTTCCAGGGTGACACCAGAGCCTTCTTCAAGTCCCCGAAAAGTGGTGTTTAGACGATGGGGAAGGATTGTTTATACACCAGTGGCCAAAATTGTGGAAACCTTTTTGGGAAAAGTTGTATTTTTGAGGTTTGATGGCTAATACCACCGCATTTTTTTTTTTTGGAGTTTCAAGATTCCACTTTCTGGAAAGTTTCTATTCCACTTGCTGGAACGGCGTGGGAATAGCCCAGATCTTCTTCACCCAGTTGAAAATCTACGGAGCCGACTAAAGAAACTTGTTAGTCAGAAGCGACCCAGCAATAAAACCCAGTTAATAGAAGCCATCATTCAATCTTGGTTTCGCGTTATTATAACAGCTGCAAATCTGAAAGACTTGGTTCCCTCCATGGGAAGACGTTGTAAGGCCGTCACTCATGCTAAAGGTTACCCAACTAAGTATTCACTGACATTGGGATTATTTTTGTCGATCTCGTTTTTTTCTATGTGTTTCCCTTTTCTTCTTTATACTGTCACTGCTATTCTAATAGCAAATCCTTCATAAAAGTTACTTTCTTGTAATGTCAGAACCTGCTGGATTTCACCCAACCACTTCGACCGCAATCCGTGCATTTTCTCAGCCGCGTTCGGATAACATCGCGGCTCCGATCTCCCAACTCCCCCCAAATTTTTTTTAAAAAAAATTAAATAAATCCCATTCTTGGCACCTGTAAAATATTATTTAAACGCCGTTCTCTGTTTGAGATCCCTGTTCTCCTTTCTACCTACCTGGCCGAGGAGGATTATGCATCGTGTATATAGCAAAAACAAACAGCCATCTGGCTTACTTAGCCTTAAACTCTAATCCAAACATCCCGTTTCAAGTATTAAGACAAAGATACCCCTGGAAAGAGAAAGCTCTGCCAATCAACCGGGCTGGTCTTTTGTCCCTGGGTGAAAACCACACCTTTTTCTCCACGACCCAGGTGTGATGTGGACGCCTGGCGGGCGGAGAGGCCCGAAATCCCTTAAGCTCTACTTAATGTCAAACCTGACATCGACACGGACGGCCTTGGGCGGTCCAGAAATGGCTGGGCCCTCCATCACTGGAGGTTTCCAAGAAGGGATGGGACGGCCATTGGTCTGAAAGGGTCTCCTGCTTGAGCAAGGGGTTGGACTAGAAGACCTCCAAGGTCCCTTCCAGTTCTATTCTGAACTAAATGACTCACTCACTCCTTTCCTTCCTTCCTTCCTTCCTTCCTTCCTTCCTTCCTTCCTTCCTTCCTTCCTTCCTCCTTCCTCCCTCCCTCCTCCCTTCTTTCCTTTCCTTTCCTTTTCCTCCTCCCTCCCCTCCCCTCCTTTCCTCCTTTGCTCTTTGCTCCTTTCCTCCTTTCCTCCTCCTTTCCTTTCCTTTCCTTTCCTTTCCTTTCCTTTCCTTTCCTTTCCTTTCCTTTCCTTTCTTTCTTTCCTTCCCTCCTTCCCTCCCTTCCCTCTATCTTCCTTTCCTTCCCTCCCTTCCTTCCCTTCCTTCCCTTCCCTTCCTTCCCTTCCCTTCCCTTCCCCCCCTTCCTTTCCTTTCCTTTCTTTTCCTTTCTTCCCTTCCCTCCCTTCCCTCTATCTTCCTTTCCTTTCCTTTCCTTTCCTTCCTTTCCTTTCTTTCCTTTCCTTTCCTTTCCTTTCCTTTCCTTTCCTTTCCTTTCCTTTCCTTCTTTCCTCTCCCTCCCCCTCCCCCTCCCCTCCTCCTCCTCCTCCTCCCCTCCCTCCCTCCCTCCCTTCCCAGGTTGCTTTCCTTCCTAGGATGGAAAGGGAAAGAATTTTCCTCCATTCTTTCGCAAAAAAAAACACAAAAATTTTCCCTTTATGGTTGTTAAGTGAAACACTGCAGTTTTTGTTGTTTATGTTGTTTATGTTTATTGAATTTGTATACCGCCCTACTCCCGAAGGACTCAGGGCGGTGAACAGCCATAAAAATAAAAACATATAAATACAAAATTTAAAATAGAGATAAAACAAATTATAAATTTGGCTGAACCATATTTAAAACCCCAATAATTTAAAACCGAATTTAAAATTCCCATTTAAAATGGAGAAGTTTAAGTCAGGCCGGCTTGCTGGAATAGAAACGTCTTAAGCGTGCGACGGAAGGTTTAAGTTAGTAACACGGTTGTTAAGTGAATCCGGCTTCCCCCTTTGGCCTTTGCCTGTCAGAAGGACCCACAAGAGGATTGCGTAACGCCAGGGCACCGCGACCGTCGTAAGTACCATGCCAGTCGCCAAGCGTCTGAATTTGATCACGGGATCGCTGCAGCGAAAACGCTCCCAAGTTCCCCTTTTTTCCATGCCGTTATAACTTCGAACGGTCACTAAACGAGCTGTTTTAATTCGGGGACTTCCTGTATTCTGGCTTTCCTTCCCTCGTCCCGTCTCCACCCATCCGCAGCCCCCCGTCCCCGGGATTTCCCATTCTATCCCAGCTGAAGAACTTTTCCCACCAGGAAACAGCAGCAGTCCAAGGAGGACCCCCCCTCCGTCATAACACTTTGGAGCAATCTACTCAAACCCCCACCCCCACCCCCAAAACCTCCCCCACCCCCACAAATGACATCCGAAGCCACCCAGAAAAAAGAATCAGAAGGGAAAGACGACTTTTTTCCCAAAGCCGGAGCCCTTCCCAACACACTGTCAAGTTGATTTAGCTATGGCCCTCAACAGCTCTGGGGCTCCTGGACCAACCACGAGGGGCCGGGGAAGGTCGACCCCCCCATCCCCACTTCCTCTCAGGGCACCAGTTTCTGTTTCAAGATCAAGTTGGCTTCTCTCTGGGCTGAGGAACGTCTCTCTCTCTCTCTCTCTCTCTCTCTCTCTCTCCTCTTCTCTCTCTCTCATTCTCTCTCTCTCTTTCACTCTGTTTCACTCTCTCTTTCTCTCTCTCTTCTGCTCTCTCTCTTTCTTTCTCTCTCTCTCTCACTCTTTCACTCTCGTTCGTTTGCTCTCTCTCTCTTTTGCTCTCTCACTGTCTCATTGCTCTTTCACTCTCTCTCTCTCTCTCTCTCTGCCTCTCTGTTTCTCTCTCTTTCTCCATCTCTCTTTCTCTCTCTCTTTCACGCTCTTTTGTTCTCTCTCTCTCTCTCTCTCTTGCTCTCTCACTGTCTCATTGTCTCTCTTTCGCTCTCTCTGTCTCTCTCTCTTTCACTCTCTCTGTCTCTCTTTCTATCGCTCTCTCTTTTGCTCACTTTGTCTCTCTCTCTTTCTCTCTCTTTCACTCTCTCTTTCTCTCTCTATCGCTCTCTCTTTCGCTCACTTTGTCTCTCTGTCTCTTTCTCTCTCTTTTGCTCTCTCTCTCTTTCACTCTTTTGCGCTCTCTCTCACTGTCGCTTTGTCTCTTTCTCTCTCTGTCTCTCTTTCACTCTCTCTCTGTCTCTTTCTCTTTCTGTCTCTCTTTCACACTGTCTCTCTTTCTGTCTCTCTCTTCACACACACTCTCTCTTTTGCTCTCTCTCTTTCTCTCTCTTTCACTCTCTCTTTCTCTCTCTCTCTTTTGCTCTCTCACTGTCTCATTGTCTCTCTTTCGCCCTCTCTCTGTCTCTCTCTCTTTCATTCTCTCTGTCTCTCTCTATCGCTCTCTTTCGCTCACTTTGTCTCTCTGTCTCTTTCTCTTTTGCGCTCTCTCTCTCTGTCTCTGTCTCTTTCTCTCTCTTTCTCTCTCACCCTCTCTGTCTCTCTTTCACTCTCTCTCTCTTTCTCTTTCTGTCTCTCTCTTTCACACTCTCTCTTTCTGTCTCTCTCTCTTCACACACACTCTCTCTTTTGCTCTCCCTCTTTCTCTCTCTCTCTCTCTCTCTCTCTTTCGCACACTCTCCCTGTCTCTCTGTCTAGCCCGCAGAGCCATCCGTCTTAACTCTTCCCTCTTCTCCCACCTTGAGCCTTGACTGTGGGCGCAAGGCAAGCCCTCTTCAAGGGGAGATGATGGCTTCCGTCCAATGAAGGACCTGCTTAATCATTGACCATCGTGGGAAAAGCCCAAGACGAGGCCGGAGAAACAGCCCATTGTCTGGCGTAGATTAAAGCCGCAAAAGCTGTATTGTCTGGCCAGCGGATAAATCTTCCTTCTGTCACTCAAACACTGAATTAAATTCCCTTTCATTTCTAAAGGGGCTTATCTATCTTGAATGGGCTGTTAGGACACAAGGGTAGAGCACTCTTTTTCTTTTTTTTAAAAAGTGAGTTCCTGTCCTGGGCACCTTCACAAACAAGGGGTGGGGGTGGGGAGGGCAGGAGGAAGGAACGAGGTGCAAATCTTGAAGCCCGGGGATCTGTGTGAGTGTGTGTAGATAGGTAGGTAGGTAGGTGGGTAGGTAGGTAGATAGATAGATAGATAGATAGATAGATAGATAGATAGATAGATCGGAAGGGAGTCTCCGGATGTTGGGCCAGGCCTAAAACCAGAAGTAAGCTGCAGAAGAATACACTAGCAGTTATTTGACCCACATAAAATAAGACAACAGAGGAAAACGAACCTGCAAATTGGCATTTTTATTACAGCAAGACTATCTCTAATATTAAAGTAACTAACCTGTCATATATGGGGGGGAGGAGGAGGAGAAAGAAGAAGAAGAAGAAGAAAGAAAAGGAGGAGGAGGAGGAGGAAGAGGGGAGAAGAAGAGGAGAAGGAGGAAGAGGGGAGAAAGGGGAGAAGAAGGAGGAGGAAGAGAAGGAGGAGGAGGAGAAGGAGAAAGAAGAGGAGGAGAGGGAGGAGAAGCAGGAGAAAGGAAAGAAGGAGGAGGAGGAGGAGAAAGGAGGAGAAAGGAGAAGAAGAAGAAAGAGGGGAGAAGAAGGAGGAGGAGGAGAAAGGAGGAGGAGGAGGAGAAGAAGGAGAAGAAGTAATAGTAGTAGTAGCAAGGAGGAATAGCAAGTAGGAGGAAGAGGAGTGGGAGAAGAAGGAGAAAGGAGCAGGAGAAGAAGGAGGAGGAGCAGGGGGAAGATGAGAAGGAGCAGGAGGAGAAAGAGGAGGAGGAGGAAAAGAAGGAGGAGCAGGAGAAGGAGGAGAAGTAGTAGTAGTAGTACTAGTAGTAGTAACCGTCGTTCACCCCTTGTGGTGGTTTTGTGACTGAATGAGTCATCAGAGCCAACAACCTGATGGGGCTCAGAGGAGAGCTGGCCCCATGACAAACAGAAACAGGATTATCGGGACAGAAAACGTCCCCTTTTTAGAACTTGAGTTGACAAGTTCACGGCGAACCTCGTGTTTTGGGTGAACCTAATTGAGATTTTTTTTTTGCTTCTCTCCTTGATGAATTTCCATCCGTTGCTTTTTTTTTAAAAAAGTTTTATTTTCTTTTAATACAAACATTTCATTAAACGGCGTGCCATCTGGGTACAATTTTTTTTTTGTGTCATAACAGTTAAAACTTACCACCGTATTCATTATTTGTACCTATTCTTATATTAATACTAATACTTAACATACCTATTGTTGTAACATTTATCTTCTTAACTTATTTAACTTCACAATACATTGCTTTCTCTATTTATTCTCTAACCATTGATAAAATAACTCCCCTATATTATAATAATCAGATTCTTCCTTTCCTTTAATTGCCAGTGTTAATCTATTCATTTCTGCACATTCTAATATTTTCTGAATAGAGTGGAGTTGAGTGGAGTGGAGTGGAGTGGAGTGGAGTGGAGTGGAGTGGAGTGGAGTAGAGTAGAGTGGAGTAGAGTAGAGTAGAGTAGAGTAGAGTAGAGTAGAGTAGAGTAGAGTAGAGTAGATAGAATAGAATAGAATAGAATAGAATAGAGTAGAGTAGAGTAGAGTAGAGTAGAGTAGAGTAGAGTAGAGTAGAATTGAATTGAATTGAATTGAATTTTTTATTGGCCAAGTGTGATTGGACACACAAGGAATTTGTCTTTGGTGCATACGCTCTCGGTGTACATAAAAGAAAAGATACGTTCATCCAGAATCATAAGGTACAACACTTAATGATAGTCCTAGGGTACAAATTATACAAGCAACAAAATTACAGTCATACAGTCATAAGTGGGAGGAGATGGGTGATAGGAACGATGAGAAGACTAATAGTAACGCAGACTTAGTGAATAGTTTGACAGTGTTGAGGGAATTAGTTGTTTAGCAGAGTGATGGCGTTCGGGGAAAAAACTGTCCTTGTGTCTTAGTTGTTCTGGTGTGCAGTGCTCCATAGCGTCGTTTTGAGGGTAGGAGTTGAGACAGTTTATGTCCAGGATGCGAGAGGTCTGTAAATATTTTCCCAGCCCTCTTTTTGACTCGTGCAGTAGACAGGTCCTCAATGGAAGGCAGGTTGGTAGCCATGGTTTTTTTCACACAGCAATTGTTAATCACATTTTCATCTGTAGGAATCTCTTCACTTTTTCCAATTTTGTGCAAATACTATTCTAGCTGCAGTTATTACACGAACAATCAAATATACATTTTCTTTACTATAAATTTCTGGTAAAATCCCCAACAGGAATAGTTCAGGTTTTAAGATCAATATGCCGTTGCGTCATCTTCTCCATTGCTTCTTGTCCTGCTTGGGGTGCTTTGAAGAATAGGTGGAACCCCCCCCCCACCTCCCTTTGTGGCAGCCCCTCAAATATTGCAACCTTCAAACCGAATTCAGACTCATTTCAGCGCAAGTTCATCGGCTTCACGTCGGTCGCTCGACTTTGGGGTGGTTGGGCGTAGGGTAAAGCCAGCCTTTGCAAGGCGGCTTCTTGTACAAGCCCAGGCTATTGTGGTTTATTATCCCGCCGTCTCAACAAACCAGGGCTTGCAAGACATCCACGCAATCCTCAACAGCAAGGGCAGAGTGTTGTTAAAATTGAGATCAGAATTGCGATTAAGAAAAGGAGTTTGCGTTTGCAGGACCCAACCGTTCCAGTTTTGGTCCCAAGCTCACACCCCGGCAGATATAAATCCAAGCCATTCGGTTGATTTTTTTGGGACGGCGTTGGGTGGGGTTGGGTTGATTTTTAATTTTTCCAACGCCGAAATAGGCTCGGTGTGTCCTTCCATCAGCCCGCTCGTTTGTCAGGAAATAAAATTTGCAGCGAGGTACCACAAAAGAAAGCATTGTGCGTGTGTCAAAAGTTAAGTTTGGCCCGATTCCATACCGAGAATCAAGTTTCAGAATATTAGCTCCCCCCCCTCCGCTCTCGAATCACGGTTGAGAAAGGGGAGGGCAGAAGATGTATGATATCAGGACAAGAAGACAGATTAATTTCTGCTTGGCTCAATCCCATCCATTTTGCATTAGGTCACGGTCTTTTCCTATCTTCTGTCCTCTAATTAATTGACTTTTATTCTTTCCGTTCCTGGACTCTGAGACTCCGCCCTTTATTTCTGAGGCCCCGCCTACCTTCTCCAAAGCCCCGCCTTCCCAAGCTTACAATTCTGGCTAGTGAATATTTCGTCACGACAGATACAGGCAGTAGTGGTATTCAGCTGGTTCAGATCGGTTTGGGCGAGCCGACTCTGAGGCTCCACCCCTTATTTCTGAGGCCCCGCCTACCTTCTCCAAAGCCCCGCCTTCCCAAGCTTACAATTCTGGCTAGTGAATATTTCGTCTCGACAGATACAGGCAGTGGTGGTATTCAGCCGGTTCGGATCGGTTTGGGCGAGCCGCTTGTGGCGACCTGCGGGTGCCACCCCCCCGCCGCCCCGGTGCTATGCTGTTCTATTTAGCCACATTTTTTTAAGCCGCGTGCAAGCCACGCGCGTGAGCAAAGCGCATGTGTGGAAGGGGTGCGCGTGAGCTCACATTTTCGGTGCGCGGCGAACCAGTAGTAAAATTATGTGAAACCCAGCTGTGTTTACACATAAATGTAAAAGAAGGCAGCCCAAAATGAAATTGCATTTGGAGGAGGAGGAGGAGGAGAGGAGGAGGAGGACGAAGAGGAAGAGGAGGAGACGAAGAGGAGGAAGAGGAGAAGAAGGAGAAGGAGAAAGAGAGGAGGAAGAGGAGGAAGAAGAGTTAGAGGAAGAGGAGGAGATGAAGAGGAGGAGAAGAAGAAGGAGAAGGAGGAGGAGGAGGAGGAGAGGAGGAGGAGGAGGAGGAGGAGGAGGAGGAGGAGGAGAAGAAGAAGAAGAAGAAGAAGAAGAAGAAGAAGAAGAAGAAGAAGAGAAGAAAGAAGAAGAAGAAGAAGAAGAAGAAGAAGAAGAAGAAGAAGAAGAAAGCAAAGAGCTCCATTTTATATAAAAAAATTGATTTTTGCAGAAACAGAAAAACCGTACGGCACTGGTTGGGAACCTAAATCCTGAACGATTGTTGGATTAAGCAAGTTTTTTCCCCCCTTTCAGTTTTGGAAGGAGATTAAAAAAAAAGAAGAGGGGGGGGAGTGTGAGGAAGGCCCACCCCTTTCCCCGGGACTTAAAGGATCTTTCCGCGCCACTCCCCAGATCGCATCACAGGGTAAACATGGCTGTTCTCGCCTTCTCAGTCATTGAAACCAACTGGTTTTCTTTTCTTGCAACAAGTGGGCTACACCTGCTGACCGACTTAATATAATTAGCCTGAAAATTGCCTGAAAGAGAGACATGGCAGGAAGCGGATGAAAGAGACTCCGATAACTCATTGTGTCATAAAACGACAGCAACCGGGGAAGAACTTCAACAACAACAACAACTTCTCCTCCTCCTCCTCCTTCTCCTCCTCCTCCTCCTCCTTCTCTTTCTTCTCTTCTTCTACTTCCTCCTCCTTTTTCTTCCTCCTCCTCCTTTCTTCCTTCCTTCCTTCTCATTCTTCCTTTTCTCCTTCTCCTTCTCCTCCTTCTCCTCCTTTCCTTCCTTCTTCCTCCCTCCTCTCCTCCTCCTCCTCCTTGTCCTTCTTCCTCCTCCTCCTCCTCCTTCTCTTTCTTCTCCTTCTCCTTCTCTTTCTTCCTTCCTTCCTTCTCATTCTTCCTTTTTTCCTTCTCTTTCTCCTTCTCCTCCTTCTCCTTCTTCTTTCCTTCCTTCTTCTTCCGTCCCGCCTTCTCCATCTCCTCCTCCTCTTCCTCCTCCTCTTCTACTTCCTCCTCCTCCTCCTCCTCTCCTCCTCCTCCTTGTCCCTCTTCCTCCTCCTCCTCCTCCTTTCTTCCTTCCTTCTCATTCTTCCTTTTCTCCTTCTCTTTCTCCTCCTTCCCTCCTCCTCCTCCTTCATCTCCTCCTCTCCTTCCTTCCTTTTCTCGTCCTCCTCCTCCTCCTGCAGAAAGCACTTTAAAAACAATCCTATGGCCCCTTACTTTCCAAGTTCATTTATTATTATTATTATTATTATTATTGTTATTATTATTATTATTTATTGTAAAAAAAAAAACACCCCACCAAAAACCAGAATAACAGGCGGTATACAACTTGGCAAACCTCCGGGACATTTCCATCCCGCGGCTTAATGGTGTGACTCTTTATACATCAAAACGCGGCAGCTTTCGGTAACAAAGGCTGAAAAATCACCCCATAGATTGCCTCCTTCTTCATAAATCGGCTGAGCCCCCCCTGCCCCCGCCCCCTGTGCCAAAGGGCTGGTGGTGGTGGAAGATATCTTGATAACATTAGAATCATTTGGTCCTTGATGAATTGTTAATTCCCGTTGAGTCCCCGGCCCGCTGCGACTTAGAGTGAATGTCATGGCGTGGGCCACGCACACACACATATGCACAAATACACACACACACACACACAAACCCACAAAAATCCCCCTTGCCATTGGAGCACTTCGTGGCACTTCCTCTGTGTTTTTTCTTGTTCTTTTCTTTTTTTGTTTAAAAAAAACCCCAGTAATAGTCAGAAATGCCGTTATCAAAATCGGGTGTAAGAAAAGGCGATAAATTATGCACGCCCAAGCTTCCTTCCGTCTTTTTTCCCCTTTCTTTCTTTCTTTCTTTCTTTCTTTCTTTCTTTCTTTCTTTCTTTCTTTCTTTCTTTCTTTCTTCTTTCTCTTTCTTTCTTTCTTTCTCTTTCTTTCTTTCTTTCTTTCTTTCTTCTTTCTTTTTTTTTTTGTTTTTTTGTTTGATACCCCACTTTCAAAACATCGCCGCGGCGCATGGAGGGCATCGCCCAGCCCATCGAAGTTTTGATGGCTTCGGGAGGAGGCGGGCAGCCTGTCCAAGAGAAAAGCACCTGACACACGGCACGGAGGAAGGAGCCTCCGGGGTCCTTCCTGTGGTCACGTCCGGAGACCCGAAAGCGAATTGCCTTTGAGATAGGCAGACCCTGGCCTGTCCTTTCAGGCTGGGCCTTTTTAACAGATTAACAGAGTCGGAAGGGACCTTGGAGGTCATCTAGTCCAACCCCCCCTCCCGAGCAGGAGACCCTACACCCTTTCTGACAGATGGGCAGTCCAGTCTCTTCTCGAAAGCCTCCAGAGATGAAGCTCCCACAACTTCCGAAGGCAACTTCTGTTCCATGGATTGATTGTTCTCACGGTCAGAAAATTCCTCCTTACTTCCAGGTTGAATCTCTCCATGGTCAGTTTCCATCCATTATTCCTTGTCTGGCCTTTGGGTGTCTTTGAAAATAGCTTGACCCCCTTCCTCCTCTCTGGGGCAGCCCCTCTCCTGTCTCCCCTGGTCCTTCTCTTCACCTGCACAGGGTAGCATTAAATTGTTGGATAACAAGGATGTGATTCTGTGATGCAGGGAACTTAGGCCTACTATAATCGGGATTGTCCGTCCTATCGTATAGAATCCTAGGGACCTCGGAGGTCCTCTAGTCCAACCCCCACCCTTGGCCAAGATGTCAAGAAAGTCAGGAGATCCAGACAGCTCAAAAAGCTTGAGTTCTCTCCAAGAATCTGAACCCACAGGCAGTCCTCAACCTGCGACCACAATTGAGCCCAATCTTTAGGTTCTTAAGGGAGAAAGCTGCGAAGTGAGTTTTTGGCCTGTTTTACGACTTTTCTCCCCCCCTCGCCATTTGTTCCGTGGCTCGCCGCAGTCCCATGGTTGTTAAGCAAACCTGGTTTCTCCCGGTTGTCAGAAGGCCTGCGAAAGGGGGAATCACGTCACTCCGGGGGGGACATTGCAACCGTCATAAATGTGAGTCATCCATCAAGCATCCGGATGTAAATCACCTGACAGTAGGGATGCTGCAACGGTCGTTAAGTGTGAAATATGGTCGTGAGTCATGTTTTTTTCAGTGCCGTTATAACTTTGAACCGTCCCTAAAGGAATCCAGAGTTAGAAGATTCTGGGAAAAATTGAAACCCACATGTCTAATTGCGGAAGGGTTCGAGAATTGATGGCCCAAAATGAGGAATGCTGGGAAATAGGACCGAGGAATGCTGGGAAATAGAACCGAGGAATGCTGGGAAATAGAATTGAAGAATGCCAAGAAATAGAACTACAGAATCCACCATCTTTCCAACCAGGGAAATCCTCGAAAAGGAAGGAGTCAACCTCAAGATCCAAAGCTCTTTTTAACTCAAGTTGGAGAATTGGGGTCAGATCTCTCTCCCCCCTCTCCCCCTCCTCCTCCTCCTCCACTCCCGGAAGGATTAACCCGCAAGCTCCTTTGGGATTCTTTGTTCCCAGGCCGTCTGATCAGATGCTACCCCCGAACGCTTGTCCCAATCCTTGCCTTATGACCGTTCTCAAACGAATGGAAAGCTGGACGGCTTCTCGAGCCGCATTCCTGGGGCAAAAATTCGGCGGGTTTCTGCCTCGCGGCATTCTTGCCTGCTCAAACGAATGGCACCCTCATCAACGGCTTAAGCCGCTGCCTTGGTTTAGTAGACCAGCAACGAGTTAAACCATCTCCCTAATCAAAAACCTATATGGGACACGGTGGCTCAGTGGCTAAGGCGCTGGGCTTGTCGATCGAAAGGTCGGCAGTTCGGCGGTTCGAATCCCTAGTGCCTAGCGTGTAACGGGGTGAGCTCCCGTGACTTGTCCCAGCTTCTGCCAACTTAGCAGTTCGAAAGCACGTTAAAAAAAAAAAATGCAAGTAGAAAAAATAGGGACCACCTTTGGTGGGAAGGTAACAGTGTTCCATGCACCTTTGGTGTTGAGTCATGCTGGCCACATGACCACGGAGACGTCTTCGGACAGCGCTGGCTCTTCGGCTTTGAAACGGAGATGAGCACCGCCCTCTAGAGTCAGGAACGACCAGCACATATCTACAAGGGGAACCTTTACCTTAATGAAAAACCTGGTTTTCTTCAAGGGGCCAGGGCTTTGGACCTCTAGGGGCCCCGCCAGGCAACGGTGCCTCGAGCATGAGCAGAGTGCCCCTTGCCAAGGATTGTCATTTTGGGAGCATGAAAGGTATATTTTACCTCTGTTTCTTCACGACAATCCTCGTCCTGGGCTGAGATGTCGCAACGAGATCAAGGGAGGTACTAATACCACTCTATAAAGCCCTTAGTAAGGCCACACCTAGAGTCCTGCATCCAGTTTTGGTCACCACATTATAACAAAAGATGTTGAGACTCTAGAAAAAGTGCAGAGAAGAGCAACTAGGATGATGTGGGGACTGGAGGCTCAAAGATACGATGAACGGTTGCAGGAACTGGGCCTGGCTAGTCTAGTGAAGAGAAGGACCAGGGGAGACAGGAGAGCAATGTTTCAATATTTGAGGGGCTGCCCCAGAGAGGAGGAAGGGGGTCAAGCTATTTTCCAAGGCACCCGAAGGCCAGACAAGGAATAATGGATGGAAACTGACCAAGGAGAGATTCAACCTGGAAATAAGGAGAAATTTTCTGACAATGAGAACAATCAACCCATGGAACAGAAGTTGCCTTCAGAAGTTGTGGGAGCTTCATCACTGGAGGCTTTCAAGAAGAGACTGGACTGCCCTCTGTCAGAAATGGTGTAGGCAGGTCTCCTGCTTGGGCTGGTGGGTTGGACTAGATGACCTCCAAGGTCCCTTCCGACAATGTTAATCTGTAAACTTAAATCGGTAAATCTAGAGATTGTTTAACAAGCATGGCCAAAGAAGACTAAGATACAATGCACTCTGTCTATCCCATGGGAGATTTTTATGCTGTTTTTTCTTCCATTTATCTCATATATATTTGCAGTAAACTGAGAACGGGGATGTGTGTTGTAGGCTGGCTGGGGAATTCTGGGAGTTGAAGTCCACACATTTTAAAATTGCCAGGGGAAGAGAAACCCTTCCTCTAATGGGTCTCGCTTGCCCTGACCAGGAGGTTGGACTAAATGACCTCTAAAGTCCCATTCTAGGACTCTGGCAATTCCGCAGCATTATTGTGAAGATAACACGGAGATGGGTATCATCCAGAGCACCGTAGAATTGGGGGAATAAAACTACCTAAACCATAGCACTACCATAATCGTTTTATTGTTATTATAATTTTTATTAGTTTAGCAAAATAGTAAACGATAGTGCAAAAATCCTTCTTGGCTTCCGGTGAAAAAAGCAGCTTATAAGAAAAAAACAAGTAAAATTAGGCTTATTCTTTTCCCTCTGCTAAATTATTTAGTGATTGGTTCCGTTCCTCGAACCAGCAACAAATACCTTGGTCCCCCTTTCCCCACCAGTCCTTACATTTGAAAGATGAATCGCCTACCTAGCCTATCCCTGTTTCCACTTCCAGTCCTATTTCATGGCCAGGCACGATGGGAATTGTAGTCCAAACA